CCGTGGACTCCTCGCAGCCACGTACGCGCGACTGCTTATTGCGATGCAACTCGATCGAGCTAACGAACCAGTCGAGCACGTCTGTTTGAGTGAATTAACGAGGACGAGTCCAGTCGCGCCCCTCCCCCGCCTGCCTCTGCGCCGGCTGATTCTCACCACTCTCCGTTTCTATCCGGCGAGCGGCTTCTCTCCCAGTTCCACGGATCGCCGAACGATCTTCCACGTTTTTCTCCTCGCGCGACTCGTTTCTGCCCCTTTCCCTCGCCGCTGCTGCTGCTCCCCTCTAGCTAGCTCGCTTTCGTCCTCCGAAATCAGGATCCCGGCAAGGTTACGCGACGCTCCTAATCGCCCCGAGATTTTTTCGAAAGGTGCACGCACTCGAGCTCGAGAACTGGCATTCGACTGGATAGGCTCGTTTCCGAGGATTGTTCGTTAGGCATGTGGTATTGTGATTCGGGCGTCTGAATCGGGTTCTTCCTGTGAATGGAGAATTCGGATTTGTATCGTTTCGAGTCAGGTTTGTCGAGGAGCAACTGGAGGTGTGGCTTTGGAATGGAAGGTTCGTTGGACGATAAGTGACGAGTTTTGATGTGCTGCAGCTGAATTTTGCGAGGTTTGAACGAAGTTTTGGAATTGTTGGTTTTAGTCTGAGTTGGGTTGCATTTGAGGCTTTGACCTCCTAACTGACGAGTTCAGTCGTTTATGTAATGAATCATTGCTTTATACCACGAGAAGTTTCAATGGTTCGTGCTGCAGCTGAATTTCGAGAGGTTTGATCGAAGTTTTGGAAATAGTTGATGTTCTCAAATGGAATTGTTAGTTTTAGTCTGACAGGGGTTGCATTTGAGGCTTTGAGGACCTTGTAACTGACGAGTTCACTTATGTAATTATTTAATCATTCAATATTGGAGTACATTATTATAGTGTGTACATTTTGAGTTCATCTAGAATTGTATTCTTATAAATGCTGACGTTTGGAAAATAGACAATTTAAAGATTGAATCTATATTTGTACATCGTGAAGGTTTTCGAAGGCTCGAAATCGTTCGTAAAGCCATTTTCTTCCTCTGTGCAGGGACACGAAGGTCCTCGAAGGACAGTCGGCTCGCGAATCTTCGAGACATCGAGTGCGTTTGACGGGGAGCCGCTCGGAACGGATGCTGGACACGCGACCCGCTCGGGAATGAAAGGACCCAGCGCGCGGAGGCGTCGTTGAACTCGGATTAAGAGGACCGAACAGGTAACTGCTTCTTTGTCTCTCCATTCCGACGCAACGTGTTTGCCGAAACGATGCCCGCAGCGTTTGAGATGCAAATTAATCGATCGATTTATCAGACTCGATCGAGCTGCGCCGGGCGCAGCGACTGATTCGACTAGACGGAAAATGATTTTACGCGAGGAATTAAATTGAAAACACGCGATGAAGTTTTTTCCGTTTGAAGCCTCGTTTTCGGCGGAATCCAGTTTGACCGCGCGGACGTGCGAGCGCGCTCGGCAAATTTGGAAACTGGATTTCCCCGGGAACGAGGGCGGAACGAAAAAAATTTCGTTTCATTCTTTTCGCTGACTCCGCGTGGAATAATTCGTTGATTGTGTTCCGCATTATGTCGAGTAAATTCCGGCTGGTCCGGGAGTCAGAAATTTCAGATCGCGAGACGCCGAACGGTGCGTTATTAGTTTTATACGACGGAAACGCGGGGATCTTTGTTTTACCATAACCGTCGTATCGATTTTATGCGTGCTCGATATAACGGATTGCATAATGTCCGAGCACGTTGAAAAATGCGGGGTACGCTCTCGTTTTATTCGGAACCCGATAGAATATTTATTATGGTAAACGGAGAGTCTGTTGCGCAACGGTTTATGCAGATCGACCTATCAAATTTTGTGTTGCGTAATTATTCACGGTGTATTGATGAATTATCGATTCAACGGGCACGCTAAATTTCGCTTCCTTAGTCGAAACTTATGACAGCTGCTGCATGCCGGATAAGTCCTGCTTTGTAGGTTACATTAACCCGATGATGTTTTTAGTAATGAGGAATAACACTGGGCGTAATTGAATGGTTGAACCATTCGCTGATATTCTACTTTTCGGAAAACTGAATTGTTCGGGTGGAAATTTTCAGTGAGATCTACTTATATTGCTATAGATATCAATATTGTTACGCAATATATTTTAAACAGATAATCAATTCGAATCAAACTTCATATTTTTCTGAGTACTGTAGTAATTAGCAGAATTGCATAGCTAAGTGTCTTTACATAAAAACGATCTCGTTGCCAGTACGCAATGCGTTAACCCATTCGCTTTAAGGACGAGTATACTCAAACTAACGTGTCCTAATACAGTTGCACGAAAAAATACTAATAACCATTAAATACTATAACCGGATTAAGAAAATATTCTATCGTCGCAGTCGAGGAATTTCTCTCTCTCTTTCTCGGAAAACAACGATGCATTTCTTCTCCAGGATCTTTTCCTCCATTCTGCAAGAAAATTTGAAACCTAATAAGCCGTCCCTTTGTCAATTTACGTTACTACGAGCCCCGGGACAACGATGCAATGGAAATAATGATAAGAAAGACGAAACACGCGAATTATTAACAATTTCCTTGTACTTCCCCGCGACGCAAGGGAACTCTCGAAGAAATGTAGGCGTGATTGCATTGCAGTCGGAGTGGTGGACTTGGAAAATGGAAATTGCTAGGTCAATTTTCCCTCGGTTTCCTGTCCCGAGAATATTTATTGTTATCAGCGCGAACGGCGAAGCGACGTTCATAGGAATCGCTCAAAATCGCGATACTTCTCCCGCAATGCGAATAGTAAGGCGCTATTAGACGCGCAACGATACATCAACGATACATTTCAGAAATTCTGCGAGTGACTGGCAAATCAATGATGTTAATATCCGCAGTACTTTAACCGTATTTTTCGAGCAGTAGGGAAATGAAGCTGAAATCGAGGATAAAACGTGTCTGAAATAATTGGTTCGTTAAACGCGACCGGTTCGTTGAATTACTTTATCGGATTCACCGCGTGTTTCTCGCGAGGTATTCGTCTGATTCGCAGCGCGCGTTTGACAACAATTACCCGAGCATCCTTAAGCTTTGCGTTTCCCATTTAACTTCTCCAACAATCGCTAAGCAACTCTCCGTTACGCGCCGCGAGGTACGATACGTTTGATTGACACCGTATATAACGTTCCCAGGAAGAATTATCAATTCAGGTCGCGCTGAATAAATTTCTTTAATAATTTCTCAGAGAAACATTACCTTTCTAATAATCGCAAAAAGACATCAGGCTGGTAGTTTGATAAGTTGATATTCGTTCATTTAGATTTTGGAAATTGTAGATGTAGAAATAGACAATCAGAATTCACATTCGTATAATTGGATCGACGAAAACCGATTGAAACATTTACCAAATAAAGTTTATAAAATTCAATCTACGTCAAATTGACGCGTTCGGTAAACCTAGTGTTAAGGAGGGTTCATACTGCTACCAAAAGTGCATTATTATTGTTTATAAAACGATTGGCCAACGATGAAAACGGCGAGCGTCCCGACGCGAGATTCTTGGCCCCGCGTCGCCGGCCATTTGCGCGGCGCTCGCATTACGCGCGTGCACGCGTGCACAGGCGTTCTCGGGATGAAACGAGCGTACCTACGAGTCTCATTATACTCGCAAATTCGTTCGATTGGTAGATACGGATTCCGGGCAGGAAACGCTCGGATATTAGCCATTAGCATCGAGGAACGCGATCAGCCGGCCGGATTTCAGGCGGCCATGATTATTCGTGTCGCGTGATTTTCTATTGTGAACGGCGAAATCCTCCCTAGAAATGCATGACACGACGCGGCGTCGCGTAGGTCGCCGTACGCTCCCTTTCCCGTCGGTTTTACGCGCGTGCCCGCCATATTACTCCTCATCTTGGCCACGCTCGGGACACCTTTGTATATGTAACAGTCGGATTAACGCGTTTACTGCCAACACTTTCTTCGGTTATAGTCCCGCCGGTATATTAAGTTCTGTAATACGTTTCGCGTGCAACGCTGGTGCACGATTAATTTAGAATATTTGAACCAGTTGAGATTGATGCTCGATTTATTTAGTAAATTAACAAAACACGATTGATATGTAATCTATGAAAATTATAATAGATTATTCTTGGTTTCTTCGGACGTTCGGTATAGTACTGAAACTATTTATTTTCAAAATCATTTCGAATATTCAATGCTTCGAAGATATCAATAATTGCCAAACAAATCGAAACCAGTCATTTTGACTGGTATAGTAGTTTTATTAGTGACATTAGGAATTAGAAACTGAAGGATGACTGCAAATACTTTGTTATTATCATAGATTTATGATTATAGATATAAAATTATTTTCTTCCTTCTTTCATGATTATTTTTTTTTTATTACTTGTTTATTTGATTGTGTTCTATTTATTTTATACGCTGAACGCGTTAAGGAGGGATCGATGACAGTAATGAAAATAAACAGAGCTCGCTCGCAGCGATAGAATGAAATTATAGAAAGAACAAAGAGAAATAAACGCAGGATGAAATTGTCCTGTTGGTAATTCGATCGCTGTGAAACTTGTTAATTTCATCGTTCCGTTGGCGAGTTGTCGTCAACAGATTTTTCTCGCTATACCGCCGTTGAACGTAACGGTTACGTAAGGAAAGATCTCGAAGCATAGTTTGAATATCTCCGCGGGAATTGTTGGGGATATTAATTAATTAATTTTAAGATGAAGTTAGAAACAAGAGGAAATGGGATTAAACCGAAGTGGAACTAATGTAACGTAAAGTGAACTACATTGAACACGCTTAAACTGAACCGAAGTGAAATTAAGGAGCACCGCGGCGCGATAAAGCGTTCAAGAAACAATTCCTGGGTAGAAGTAGATGTTAACGTTAATTTCGAGTCGCGCGTCATCGGAGCCTATAAGAGTCAATTCATCAGACCTTAAGGCTAACGTGATTAGATTGAACGGTGACTTCATTCGTTTCCTTCTCTTCCGTTTAACACTGGAACTGCCGAGCATTTAATACGATTAATATGCGATTCCTATAAAAATTTTAACAATAGATTATTCTCAGTTTCCTCGGATATTAGTTATAGTACTCGAACGAAAGTATTCATTTTCAAAATCATTTCGAATATTCAATGCTTGAAAATGTAATATTTAATATTGAACTATATTATAATATGTGATATTTAATATTGAACTGTATTATAATATGTGATATTTAATATTGAACTGTATTATAATATGTAATATTTAATATTGAACCATATTATAATATGCAATATTTAATATTGAACTGTATTATAATATTGAACTACGTACAATGCATCGGTGAGCAAATATTGGGATAAAAAAGCTTTGTTCCTCAATTTACCCTTGATTTCTCTTTGAATTCATTAAAAAAAAACCATCGTCTTTGTCTAGTTAGAAAATGTTAACTATTGCTAACAAAATACTTCCGAGTGCAAAGGGTTAACTGGTACGGTAGTTCTAGTGTTAATCAAACCGTACAGTTACAAACTAAACGGTCCATTAAGATGAATTATTCAATTCAGAAGATGCGCGAGGAGGTTACATAAAAGTAACATTTTTTCTAATTAACTGTAGAGCAATAAACAGCTCCATCAGTAATATGATCGCAATCACAGCTTCGAGGAAACGCATTGTATATTACTGAAACAATTTTCAGATGTTCGAACGTCTAAATAAGGCGATGAACCGGTTCTAAGAAGAACAATATAAGCGCCACACTTATAATTGAATTTCGCTTGTGTAACATTCCGCTTCGAGCTAGCACATTCGTCATTTTCTTCGGCAACTTATTTTTACTAATCCTTTCAACGTCCACGTGACGCACTGTCTCTTCATTATGTAATTAGTTCAATTTATTTCTGGTACACGTATTTCCTTTGTTCTCCTATATACCTGTACTCGATGAATTCATCTTCGACGCACTCGCTAGGAGACAAAAAATTCTGTAAACACATTAATAACAGTCCTCTTCGAACACGTCATTCTAGATGCAAAATGGCTGCGAGGATAATTGCACCTGCAACCGCTCGTTATCCTGAATGAAGAAATAAGATGTTGCTTGCCACTTTTTCACAGAAAACCATCATGAATGACAGATTCATTTAGCTCTGTCATCTATTTTACAAACATATCATTAACACAATGATTGAAATAGTCATTATTCCCC